TGAGCTGCCTCTCTAGGGCTGCATGTCTGTGCTCTTCTTCCCTCAACTCAACCTGAGTTGCCTTCTTAGGGGCTAGAGCCTTAGCTCTGATTTTAGTAGCCACCTCTCTCTGGACTGATTGGGTGCACTGCCTACAACTTTTTCTCTTATTGGCTTAAGAGACTGTTCCACTGGGGGTGGGGGAGAACAATGCCTGACCCTTATCTTGCTCCATTGGAAGAATAAAGGCTCTTACGATGGAAAGAAACTGTTTGTAAATTTTTTGTATTAAGCCCCTCAGGGTATAAATTGCCCCCCGGGCTTACAAAATGGCTGCTCACCTCGTGGCGGAAGGCTTCAATCCAAGATGGCCACTGACTATGGGAAACAGGCTCCGAGAGCGAAGAATTTCTCCTTAGGCTATAAAGAGCCCCGAGTGAAGTCAGCAAAGGAAAGGGCAGCCTCTGGCCACACGATCAGCTGGCTGACACTGGTATCGGTTTGCTGATCGCTTTTTACGACCACTCAAACCGCAGGCGTGGGGGAGGTCTACAGATGCTGCCCAATTTGCCTGAACAGCGCTCTAGCAAAGCTGCTCCCAACCTTGCTTGAAACGAGGAAAAACGGCACTGAAGATCGCTGGTGAGTGTTATCTAACAGAACGCTTTCAGAGACACAGCTACTGACTGAAAGGAGCTGAGTCAAAAGCTGGGGTCTCTCCCGGGGGCTGGCTTTTATATCTTAGTACAGACTCAGCTAAATGACATCATAGGAAGGAGTCAACCCGTCCTGGGCTCTTGATGCAGCATGGAGGAGAAAAGTCCCGATACGTCACATGATGCCACATGATGACAACGTGAGTTTGACACCCCTGGATTAGATGTTTCTGACATGGTTTTGATCACTAGATATGTAAAAAACACATTTACAAACCATTCAAAAGAGAATTTTTTTAAAAACCCAAGAAGGAAACAAGAAGATCAGAGCAATGCTCTCCTGCAGCCAAATGCACACACAGATAAGCAGGAATTAACACCAGACAAACATTCAAGTAGAAAACAATACCCTTATCAAGGAACTATCAAGGAGGCCACCACACTCTCATCAACACTTGCAGTGCAAGCTACTGTACCTAAACAATCAGCAAACCCCATTGTCGTTAGCAATTTGACATGATCTGCAGCACATCTTTTGCATTTTCAAAAGCCTCCAAAAACTAATTTTAGAAAGTGAGGCCCCTGATCATAAAAAAAATATATTTTGTTCCGATGTGATAATTCTGCACTTTTTATTTGTTATGTATAATGACATTCTTCTTTGAAGAAAAAAAATGCAGCAAAGTCTTCCCCGTTTTTAGACACAAAATTCCTCACCCTAGGACCAAAGCAGAAAATGCCAATCATCAAAAAGACTTGAAGCCCTAGAGCATTATTTTTTATACAAAATGAGAATTTATGTAATCCATAAAAGAAACGGGAACATTAAATTTGAGGGGAAAGATAACCTGCTCTCCATCTCTGAAAGTTGAAGCCTTAGTTCTTAATAATATGGATTACTTATACAGACAAGGCACAGTGTTCTTCTATGCAACACATATCTTAATTTCTTTCAGTTTCTCTTTATTTGGGATTTGGCTTAAGCATTATTATTGTAAAGAAATAGTATTCATGACTTATTTCATACTTTTCATTCTTAAGCTAGCTACTTCAGTAGATAGCGGGGATAAAAACAAACAAGACTAAAACAATTTTTTTTGACAACCATCTCTAGTGCAATTGTGCTGCAACTCTCAGCCACGACAGGTTTACAAATTCTTGTCTCCAAGAATTTGTTTTTCCAAGCCCCAGTATTTTTTTTTTGACATACCACTGTTTTGATTTGTGGCAAATAGCTATGTTTATTTACTCCCACCATAGTGCATTCTGTTTGGATAAAATTAAGAAACTATTTGATAGTATTGCAATAAAGGATTATGGATCTTATCTCCCAGCCTGGGTTCCAACTATTGTATCCATGTATCCATAACTATGTTTTAACTTATACCTATTATCTTGTAAGCAATTGACAAACCAAATAAAATAAAAATAAAATAGTTAAGTATTCTAGAATAATAATTCTGTTTTCCAGTTCAGGGCTATTTGAAAGTAAAGTGAGAGAATGCATATGAAGCAATCTGAACCCTTCTTGGAGCATTAAACGTGTTCACAGGCTTTACATTGCATTGTAATGTAAACATCTTCCTTCACATTGCATTGTATATCACGCCTACTATAAGCATATGTATCTTATTTATCTAAGGGTTTGTTGCAAAATAAAATCATTACAACATCAAGGCATCATGCAGGGTAACCAAACAGAGTTTGTACTGGCCATATGCCTTCAGTCAAGTTTAGCGCTGGAGAAAGTCCCAGAAGGTTTAAAACTCATTCTTCAAAGAGTATTATTTTCCATGTATCTGATGTAGAAAGAGGTCAGATTGTAATGTTCTCTATTCCTCCCAAGCCAGATGGTCATTATTTCCATAATGAGGACATCCCAGATTTAGAGCAAGTCATCCATCTACTATCCATTCTCCTCCACTACATCATCTGCCCTGGACCATTTCTCTGATGACCATTCCTGCCCTCGATATGTTTGAGCTAGAACAGAACAATCTAAGTATCTTTATTCTGGTTGACATTAATATATTTTTTAGAATGCCATCAATTAAGATGTCTGCATGAAGTTTACTGCAGGTGGTAGGGATCTGATCCAAATATATATTATTGTAGCTTTGGACAACACTAAACGCAAGCGTCTTTGTGTCTGAATTATGTGCCTGTTTCATTTTCTCTCAGCACTGAGGCTCAGGGGATCACTCGTGCTCTTATGACCTCACAGATGGACTCTACATGGGGCTGCCCTTGAAGGCCACTTCTGCAGTTAGTCTAGAATTCAGCAGTATGGGCTGTACTGGAAATGTCATGGTATGATCGAATGACATCACTGCTCCATGAACTGCATTAGTTACCAGTCAGTTTCCAGACACAATTCAAGGTGATGACAAAGCTCTTTGCATAAGGCCAACTTAGTTCAGGGACTGGGATCTTTGGCACAGGGATTGCCTATCTGAGATAGTTCCTGCCTATTTTATAAGTTCAGATAGTGTGCCAGGTTTCCTTAATGTCATCTATTAGAATCTTGGAAGCATACGTTTTCTGTTGAAGCCCCTGCTCCCTGAAAAACTATCCCCCTATATACAGAGGTGGGCTTCAAATTGTTTAGCAAGGGGCTCTCTGCCCACATGACCACTCAACGCCACTTCCACCCAGTCACATGACCCTCCCTAGCCACGCCTACCCAGGTTTTGTTGCTCCTGCTGTGGGAAATGGGTCTCCCCCCCCCCCCCCCCACTTTTCACTCTTTCTCTCCTCTACTAATGTGCCATGCAGAGTCGCCATCTGATGGGAAATCACTCCAAATCAAAGCTTTGCTACGATTGGTGAATGGTTCTGACAATAGGGAGACCCACAGTAAAATCTGTTCTATGTTGCTCAGGATTGCCCTAAAGGTAGAAGAATAGAGTTGAATAGAGACATAGCCGTAGTATTTTCTACTACCTTGATTCATTTTATCATAAAGCTAGATAGACTGAAATATATAAAATATCTAACTAAGGCCTTTGCGTAAAGTTGCTCCGAGCAGTTAAATGAATTCTTTGTGAAGAGTTTCTCCCTGAAATGCTGCGGTGAGCCTGCTTTCTGGATGGGCTGATGCAGCTGCTTTCCCAGGTGGTCAGTGTGTAGGTCTTGGTTTATGTCTGAGTCTGCACAAACACTTCTACTGCGACCGCTGGCAGAGTGAAGGAGTTGTGCGACGAACTGAGAAAGCCTTTGACACAACTGCCTCAGCATTTTGAGAACGGATTGTACCCTTGTGCCAACACACAGCAAAGCACCCTTTCACAGGAGATCTGCCCTGCCTAGCAATTCAGGACAGAAACTGCTTAATTTGTGATCCACAGAAATATGACAGAGAACAGCCAAGAATATCTGTGTTTGACTTTGTCCTTCCATTTATTTTTGAACAGACACACAGATTATTTTTAAAGAGAGACAGGTTTGTAAACAAACTGAAATATTTTGCTTTATTTTCCTCATCCGCAATGGAGCTGTATTCTTATTTTCCATAACAACAGAGGGATCTTTCGAAGGGCTTAATCCAAGAGGTGTGATTTTCATAATTCTGCTCTAGGCAGACAAGGACTGCTAAGTTGGGGAACTCCACAGCCAAAACTGTCTACAGAGAGCATTCTCTGCCATGTCTTACATAACAAAACCTCACCAAACATTTCCTGAAGAGATTTCAGTGTAAAAAAGCTCACACCAAAAAATCCAATCAATAGGTAGACAAACTTCAATTTTTTCAATACAGAGAAGTAATTCAAGCACTTTTTTTTCCAGATCAAGCCATTCTTACTCTTTGAATGGCATGCAGTGACACACTCTTGAAAGGTAGGACGGGGGCAAAAATAAATCAGCCTTAATGCAGATTTAGTAACTTTTCCCTTTTGTTGTATTAAAATGAAATGTTAGGATCCTGAGAATCATAATCAGGCGCCCTTGGGCATCAGACTGTGCATTTATACTAATATAAGTTTCTTAATGTTACTTCCTGTTATTCAGTAATTGCTGGATATAAGGAGAAATTTCCTGACAGTTAGAACAACTAATCAGTGGGTGGACTTGTCTCCAGAAGCTGTGGTTGCTCCAAACAGTGGAAGTTTTTAAGAAGAAATTGGATAACAGTTTGTCTGAAATGGTGTTGGGTTGCCTGACTTAGCAGGGGGTCGGACTAGAAGACCTCCAAGGTTCCTTCCAACTCTGTTATTCTGTTATTTCAAATCATACGTATAATTATGTGCTTTTAGCCAGTGCAACAAACGATTAACAAAATATTTCACAGTAATTCTATAAAAAGCCATTTTTCAAACTAAGTGCTCATTACATAAGGTACACTAAAGTCCAAATAATTTCTCTTACCTGGAAATGCTAAACATCCAATCATCAAAGCAAATGTTGGAAGGATACAATAGGAAGTCATTTTTGCCACACCCCAAGTTCTGCAATTATCTCCTTTCAGTCGAGCTTTGTATCAGCGCTGATCTTAGAAAAGGATTAATGGGGATTCTTTGAAAGTTTTCCAGCCTTTTAATGACCTGCAAAAATGTTCAAAAGTCAATTTTAGAACATTGTTTAAGCAGACATTATTTTCCGTTACCTTTCCACAAAAACAAAGTTAGCCAACATATTTTTTTTCAAAAAATCTTATTTTATAAACCATCAGAGAGAGCAAGAGATTGTCTTCTTGTCAAAAACTTAGTTTTCTCTAGCTTCAAGGTTTAAGTCAGGGGTGTCCAAACTTGACAATTTTAAGACTTGGGGACTTCAACTCCCAGAATTCCTCAGCCAGCTTTTGATTTTAAAATTAACAAGGTTGGACAACCCTGCTGTAAGTCAAAACCTACTACACTTCTGTGTTACCACTAATGAGAAGGTAAGGAAACTGACCAGGAACTGGTAAGGAGGATGATTATAGAATTGCTTTCCTTTTAATAACATGTTACTATGCTGCATTTAATATTTATACTTAGATGTCTAAATTATAAGTGACCTTTATTGATTCAAAAATTCAACCGGAGCACTATAATTATTATTTTATTCTTTTGAGTAGCTTATATAAATTAAAGTAAATTACAATATTTTAAAGCATCTGTGTTATAAATAGGGCAGCTTCCCTCACTTTATGGCCTGCTGAGATGAACTTGACTTCTATTCCCAGAAGCAGTACTCAATGATCTTATTTTTGTGTGTGAGATTTTATCTGTACTGGTTTTGAAAGATGGTGAACTAAAACATTGCCTATTAGCTATCAGAGCACTTCCAAAATCCTACACGACAGGGTTCCCTAGTCTCTAGCCCATGGACCAGTACTGGCCTGTAGCCGGATAAAAACCAGGTCACACAGGGTGAGGTGAAAGGTAAGTGAGTGAACGAAGCTTCATGTCTATTTGCAGCCACTGCCTAGTGCTATCATCACCGCCTCAACTATACCTCAGATCATCAGACGTGAGATTCTCATAGGAGCGTGAATCCTGCTGTAAACTGCGCATGCGAAGGATCTAGTTTGCACAATCCTTCCCCCCCCGCCCCCGCCTATGGAAAAATTGTGTTCCACAAAACTAATCCCTGGTTCCAAAAAGGTGGGGGACCACTGCTGTTCACCAGATATCTTAATCCACCAATTTTCTTGATGCTCCTTTCATATTTTATATATATTTTATATTTTCATTTTGTAGGACTTCGTCAGGTGAGAAGCACCAGAAGCACACATTCAGTTTCAGTTAAGTTGAGTACTGCTTCTGGGAATGGAAGTCAAGTTCATCTCAGCAGTTCATATTTTATATATATTTTATATTTTCATTTTGTAGGACTTTGTCAGGTGAGAAGCACCAGAAGCACACATTCAGTTTCAGTTAAGTTGATTTATTACTCATGCTTATACACAAGAATCTAACTAATAGTCAGCATTAAATTAATGCTAGGTTAGAGTTAATGGAATTCAAGATGAATTGGACTTCGATTACTTGTGGCAACATAACGACTCCAGGCTAATTCCTCTCTTAACTCTGCCTCCATGCAACCATCCCTTCCCACTTGTGACTACATGACTGTGACTTTGTCGCTTGTGTCCTTATGATTTATATCAACTGTTTCCTAGTATGATTTGATTGCTTATTGTACCCTATGACTATCATTAAGTGTTGTACCTGATGATTCTTGACTCTTGATGAATGTACTGTATCTTTTCTTTTATGTACACTGAGAGCATTTGCACCAAGACAAATTCCTTGTGTGTCCAATCATATTTGGCCAATAAAGAATTCTATTCTATGTTCTACCTGCTCTTCACCTACAGGCATGCCATAAAGATCCTTATCTCCAATCCAAAAGATTCCAACAGAATAGGATAGCGGCTTTATAAATCAAACCAAATCAATCAAGTACTAAATGCAAGCATCAGAAAGAGCAATTTTGTTAGGATAGGGGTAAATATGTCTCTTCCAAAATCTGGAGACCCGATGCAAAAAAACAAATACATTATGTGATTTTCTTCTTTTAATTGAGCCAAAGACTTCCCCTTGTTTTGACTTGCCCCATCAAATGACAACAGAACATCGTAGTCTCAGAGGTCTTTAAAAAAAGACAACCTTTAAAATCTTCATTCTGGGTTGTGTTTGGATGTTTTTGCTGTCAGTTACTTTAGTTTCTTTCTCGATAACATCTATTGGCATTCTCTTGTACTGTACAGGTAGTCCTCAACTTACAATAGTTCATTTAGTGACCATTCACAGTTACAACAGCACTGAAAAAAAGTAGCTTAAGACCACTTTTCGCACTTATGACAGATACTAGACAAGTGACTGACATTTATGACGGCTGCAGTGTCCCGGGATCATGTGATCACCTTTTGCAACCTTCTGAGAAGCAAAGTCTATGGGAAAACCAGATTCACTTAACAACCGTGTTACTCATTTTACAACCGCAGGGATTCACTTAACCACTGTGGCAAGAAAAGTCGTAACATGGGGCAAAACTCACTTAACAATTTCTCACTTAACAACATGAATTTTGGGCTCAATTGTGGTCATAAGTTGAGGACTACCTTTAGTTTGTTATTTTATTTTATTATAACAAACTTCAATAAAGTTTTTATTTTAATGCCTTCAATAAATCGATGAACGCTAGGCGCTAAATGGCCGAAACATACCTATGCTGAGGCAAAAGGAAGACTCAGAGAAATCCAGAGATTTGAAATAGAATGCTAAATGCAAGTATGGTGACATGCATGCTTGACATTTCAACACATTCCCCAACGCACTTACACACACACACACACACACACACACACACACACACACACAGATACACAAACATATGGAATGCTTTCAAGGCAAGAAAAGACAAGCTTTCTCCCCGATACATTCACCATGGTTCTCGGTTCTTCTTCTCCTCCCTTCTACGCGCACACACACACACACACACACACACACACACACAGAGACAAATTAAAGCCATCATTCTGTCCATATGTAGTAGAAAAACAATTATGCTGTTGACTTTAGAACAAAATAATACGTTCTTCACAATGCATACCAAGCCTAACCACAGATTTACTGGAAGTTCACCGATGGGTTTCCAAAAGTAAAAACATGTGAGGTATATGAGGCTGAATATGCTTCTTTTTTTCCTTCAGAAAAGTAAACTCCTATTCCAAACAGGAAGGCCGCATTTATTCTCCTAACTGAATCAGAATCAAATCCAGAAAATTGATTTTTCGCTGCCCTAAAATCCTATTTGAATGAAGGTTGGTAACTAAATGTTTTAAGAACACACACACAGGAAAATAAATACAGGTAGTCCTCTATTTACAATCATGTGTTTAGGGACCATTCAAAGTTACAATGGCACTAAAAAAAAAAAAAGTGACTTGTGACCGTTTTTCACACAACGGTTGCAGCATCTCCATGGTCATGTGATTTACACCTTCAGGTGCTTGACAACTGTCTCATGCTTATGATGTTTTGCAGTGTCCTGCAGTCATGTGATCCCCTTTTGCGAACTTCTGACAAGCAAAGTCAACAGGGAAACCAGGTTTCACTTAACCACCGTGATACTTATTTATTTATTTCATTTATATTGCCGCCTATTCCGCCCATGGCAACTCGAGGCGGCTTACACAACGTAAAACCATATTTAAAACAAAAATAAAAACAATAAAAACTAACAAAAAGAATCAAATAAATTAGTAAAGTGCAATAGAACAAAATTTGGGAAAACAAAAAACAAAACAAACAATAAATCGAAAACCAACTCCCACCCCCCACTTCTCGATGACAGCAGATCGCACTAGCCACCTGATGGGCTCCATCCCTCTCTGAGTTCCCCAGGCCCACTGGCAAAATCAATGCCTTTCGGAAGAGTGTTAGTGAGGAGGGGCCATTCTAATCTCTGGAGGAATGATGTTCCAGAGAGACAGAGCCACCACGGAGAAGGCCCTTCTTCTGGGTCCCACCAGGTGTATCTCCCTCAGAGGTGGGACCCGCAACATTCCCTGCCTCCTCGCTCTAATGGATTGGGTGGATGTGACTGGCAAAAGATGTTTCCTTAGATAACCCGGACCCAAGCCATGAAGGGCTTTAAAGGTGACAACCAGCACCTTGAATTGCACCTGGAAGCAAATCAGCAACCAATGCAGCTCCTGCAGGAAAGGTGACACATGTGCACACTGGGGTCTGCACAAAACCATGCGGGCCGCTGCATTTTGCACCATTTTGCACTTATTTAACCACTGCAGTGATTGGCTTAACAAATGTGGCTAGAAAAGTTGTAAAATGGGGCAAAACTCACTTAACTAATTTGTCATTTAGCAACATAAATTTTAGGCTCAATTGTGGTTGTTAAGTCAACGACTACCTGTATTGTTTTGATGCAGTGTGTGGGGCTGGAAGATGGAATGATGAGGACGATGCTAAGCCACCAGTCAAAAGAAGGCATTTCAGGGAAACTTGATTTTGACGATTAGAGGAAATAAGAAGAAAAGGGAAAGAGAACGTTGGAAATTATTCTGGCTGGCTAAGATTGAAAAAGAACATTGGGAACAACATTGAGTAAGGCAGTGGATTGACTATTGTGGTTCTAGGAAATGATGGTGGTAGAGGGGAAATTGTGATTTGTATATCACAAAAGAAGCAAGGTGTGAATAAATATTTAGTAATGGCAGGCATCAGGATAGTTAGGTTAGTGCTGGAGCCTGACAGATGGAAGATTCTGACCTAGTGCCAGAGAAATACTCAGGATATGCCAACACATGAGTTCCCCGCTGTGGTTTTTGGAGGCAATCTCTGGACTCCTTCACCCCAAGTGAGAACCTGGGGAGAGGGAGAGGACTGTGCTTCCTGGGATGGTAGTTCTTGGGGCAGTAATTGAGGAAATTGGATGGTTGGAGGGACTTCCCTTTCCAAGAACGAGAACCTCCAAGGTGAGCTTCTCCAGATAGCAAAGATCTGATGAGAGCAAGTCTGAAGAAGTTACAGTGTAAGAAAACTGGGGTTAAGAATGTGGTTTATCCAAGAGAAGTAGCTAAGCAGTAAACCGC